AAGGGCTTACAGGCCCTGTGTCGTTTCAGCCTGAAAGCCTGAAAACGAGGGCCTGCAGGCCCTATGTCGTTTCAACCTAAAACACGGCCGTCCAGGCCCTGAGTCTTTTCAGCCTGAAACGGAGGGCCACTTTCGGGCCCTCATAAGATCGACCTGCCCTGACACTCAGGCACCAAACCAGGGTTTTAGGAACAGGCTATTTTTGGCCTGCTCCCACGACAGCCTCAGCAGGAGCTGCAGCGCCAGGCTCTGGCTCGTTTTGGCGGTGGCAAGAGCAGCCTCCTGGACTGCCCCGCCCTGCAACTGCAGGCAGTTGGAGGCAGTCAGGAGGCAGGCTGAGGTAGTACATAGGGAGTTCTTATGCACTTCACGGGTAGGCAGAAGGCAGGAGTAGTCTTCAGGATTCAGCAGCAGCACTCTGGAGGAGCGCTGCAGGAGTAGCTTTAGCGCTAGCAGTAGTCTTCAGTGCTGGGCGCTAGTAGCTGTAGTGGTAGTCTTCAGCGCTGGGCGCTGGTAGGAGTAGAGTAGTGTTGGAGAGAGAGATGGCTGACGGAGGCCAGGGAGACTTACCTGTGGCGCCATAGCTCCAGCTTCACCTTCGAGGTACCTGCATCAAGGCGCCAACTTCACAGGTTAGTACCGGAGAGAGAGAGAGAGAGAGAGAGAGAGAGAGAGAGTCCTTCTTCCTCTTCTAAGTCCACCATCTCTTCTTCACCCTCTCGCTACCTGACTTGTCAGTATCTGCGGACTACGAGAGAGAGTTGTGACTTTGGGACTTGACGCCATTGGATCCAGACTCGACATTGGGATTCAGACATTGGACGAGGGATTATTTGGGGCCTGTGCCGAAGACTTGGTGTTGACGACATTCCCATCTTCCCCTCTTCTTCGTCTAACCACCCTCTTCTTCGTCTGTGTATGGTTGGGGACTGGTGCAATCTTCCTGTATGAGCGCCAAGCCCCTTCACACCATGGGATGATGATGAGGTATGTTTGGGGCTGCATTGCAACATTGATTGTTCGAATCATTGGTATCTAAGTCTTCCGCTACGCTATCTTGTACTTTGTGAGAGAGGTCGGTTCTTGTTCTGGTCTGCACCGTTATGGTATGCGAGAGAGAGAGAGAGATCTTCTTCTTCTTCTTCTTTTTCTTCTTTGCCCCCGTTTCGACCCCCCCTTCCCGCCGTCCTCCACCAGCCGTCCTCTTCTTCTTCTCCCCCTTCGCTGCTTCAACTTCTTCTTCTTCTTCTTCTTCTTCTTCTTCTTCTTCTCCTCCTCCTCCTTCGCTTCTTCTTCTTCATCTTCTTCTTCTTCTTCTTCTCCCCCTCCTTCCCTTATTCTTCTTTCCTTATTCTTCTTCTTCTTCTTCTTGTTCTTCTTCTTCTTCTTCTTCTTCTCATTCCCCTTCGCCAGTTCTTCTTCTT